CAATCCCCAACCACCACATCACCCCCTTATCAACCCACACCCAGAATAGGTAGCCACAGAAACTCCTCACCTCACGTCTCAATTCCTACTCATATGACCCATCATGTGCTCAGCAACCTCTTCCTCATTTCTAGACTTTGCTCTCCCTCCCCCTAGTCTTCCTTCTCCATTTTCATACCACCCTGAGCTCATAGATCTAAGACTGCACTGAGTAGGAGCCGCGGCGTTTTCGTTCCTGCGTATCGGTAGTTATACCGTTGGTCGTTTTTATAGCGTTCCACAGTACAGCCCCTTTCTGCTGACTAATAACTTTGGTTTTTCTTACTTCGTTGCAGGTTCCTCATCAAGAAAATTCTTATGTCCAAAGGCAGCACCTCCGTATGGTGTACCAGCCGCGATCCTCGATCCGGGCACTATCACCATGGCGGCCTAAACGGTAAGTCTGAATGTATCCTGACTCCGTCGTTTCCCGTCCTATTTCTCTTATCAACTCACGCTCCGGTCCCGGTTTCCTGTTTGCTGGACAAGATTTTGATTGTACTACTACCGTATGCCGAAATCCGTAAGTTGAATTATGCTGTTAGAATTTCTACCTGTCTTGTCGCCTTGCATTCTCTGCCCTGTACTCAGCTGGCATGCAGGGCTCTGGAAAAGAGTGGACAGAACCCAGTCACGACCTTGATGAAGCAAATTTGAAGCCATGGTGGAAATAGCCGTTGAACGGAATCCGCTTCCATGTCACCGCTTTTATCCCGTTCTCGTGATCCCGTTCTGCCCGAAATCGAACTACGGAAGTGCTGAATTTGTAGTTCAATTTTGTTGTATTTTAAATTTTGTGCAATCAAGCTGTTATATGAATATGTATTTACAGAATTACTACATAGTGTACTAGATATAAAACAACATGAATTGTGGCAGGAATGCTTCAGGCTTGAAATACTATGTGTCTGCATAGCATCAACATAGCAATGACGGAAGCACACAAAGCACATGCATAGCGCATGCTACGTCTAGCGCAACATCATAGCACGAAGATCAGCATGGACAATGTTTTCGCAATGCACCTCGACACTCCTCGCACTAAGTAGGTGCTTTGTATGAGCTTTGCATTTCGGAACTATGTTTATGCTTCACTGATGAACACGTTTAGACATAGCCTTCACGAGCATAGTCGGTGCATAGCACTTCCGCGAACGTGCGAAGCAGGTGCATAGGTTTCCGGCCCCCAATTTTTGGGATGTTTGAAGAGCCCAATAGCCCTTTCTATTGCCATGCGGGTTGCCGATTGTGCGTAGTTGAATGTTTGTTGCCACTCTAGGAAAAGCTGCCCCTGTGTGGCATGAAGTGGGGTGAGGCAGAAATCCCGTAAGGGATATGCAGCATCACCCACCAGTTGGTATGGTGCTATTTCCTGCATGCTAGCCTCTCGTATAGTTTTGAACGTACGAAAACCCTGTTGTCGTGGGCGCTTCCCAGGAAGGCTATTAAATAATCCTAAATCACTCAACGGGAATTGTAGGTCAGCTACAGCTGTACAACATATTGGGATTTACGCGAGAAATAGTCAGCACGATGAGCATCGATACCCCTAATTTGAACATGCGTGCCATCAACTGCCCGAATAACTAAGGGTATACCCTTGATGATTTGAAATTCGGCGGCCATCCGTGCCATGTCCGCGAGGGATGGGAACCGCTCCCACTTGCGCCTAAACAACCGAGGGAAGTTTATTATAAACAGGTCAACAGGCATGTGACACAACGTTTTCGTTACACCTACCAACATAGCGATGTTGGCAAATGTCATCCCCGAAGCAAAATACTTTACCGGGATTAGGACCGCGATTGGTGCGGGAATAAGGTAGCGCGTCACTACCGGGTGTAGAATGTGGTGCATGCCCACCACTATATGGTCAAGTATAGCTTTGTTTATCCGAAACGCGTAAAAATTTCGTCCTCGATCATGGTGTCCACTTCCTCGATGAATAGATCGAGTCTCCGTCATCGCAATCCACGTTTGCGACGGCGTATCTCTCCTGTGGGCGGCGGAAGGGCGGCAATTTCGTCAGGCCTCGTCATACGGTCGACGTGCATGATGCAAGCTCGGACGGCGTTCTCGAACCAGATATTGTAGTACCAGCTGTGAAATACAAGGAGCAGCTGTGCCATGAAGTCCGCTAGGTTGGTAGGATCCATGGGGAACATCTCGAGTGATTTGGGGGAGGCTAGAAATGCGTCTGTGGTGTTTGCGATAGAATTTGGCATATGTTTGGTTGCACTTGGGTCTTGTGCTCGCGCTCACATGTCTTGCTAGGTGCGTTGCATTTGGAGGTTGGAGGGTGGCAGGCGAGCAGCTATTGGTGGGAGTGTCGTCCACTTGGCGAGGGCTTCTGATGCCACGCACGCGCTTGGGCTGCAAATTTGGCTTTCTGGGCAGCGATGTGCACTGTTTGTTTGGCCTGGTGACATTGCTCACCATACACGTTTGTTTCGCACGTTTCGTTGCCGTGCCCAGTTTGCGAACCACGTTTTTCAGGTTTCTGAACACTGTCCTATAAATTGGCAACTACAGCACGGTGTTCAAGTACGGGATTCCCTATTCTGGTACTGAACACCATAGCGTAGGAATACGCTCTTAGAGTAACGGGAAAAAGTATGACTAGGAAGAGGGGAGGGGAGATACAAGTACAGGAATGTTGTCCCCTCTAAGAACTGACCCAGCTAGACTATAACGAACACATGTAAATTACCAAGAGATGCATAGACTAAACTAAATGATTATTTGACACACCCTCTAGCCTAGGTAGAGACAGAATGTAACAAACCAAGGCAGCACTACTAGTCTCGCCTCTGATGAAGGTAGCAAGACATCTCAGGGCAGCACTACTAGTCTGACCACTGAGACAAGGGGCCACAAGGCCAGTCAGTAGGTGTAGCTCGACAAGCAGGTATAGAAATAGCAAGTACACGCCGGTATAGTAGATATCAGGATACAAGGAGTGGCGCTGCTACTGAGACTAGACCAAGCTGAGTACAGATTCACTGATGGCCACGAGGAGGATCATGGCCCTGTTGTCAGCCAATAGGACCAGGGCAGACCTAGGCTGCTCACCTAAGTCTGTGAACAAGAACGTCAGCCAGCGAAGCTCCTGAGCGGCCATGGCCCCAGCGTAGATCTGTGCCTTACAATTGAACTGAGCTACAGACAATGACCTGGTGGACCTCCACGACAGCACCAAGCCTAAAACAATAGACCTGAGCATCTCCACGTCATCAACCCACGATGCGTCTGTGTGTCTAGTGAGCACCACTGGCTCCCATCCTCCTAGCACAAGCCCCAGTCCTGATGTACTCGCCAGATATTGCAGTACCCTCCTGGCAGCCAACCAGTGGACTGGTTGGTGCCTCCCTGTCGTAACAAAGCGAGCCAGGAGACTGAGTGGTTATGCTAGATCTGATCGAGTGAAAGTCATCAAGTACATGAGGCACCCCACCAGCTGTGCGTATGGACCACTAGCCTTGACCGGCTCAGCCGGAACAGGAGCAAAGAGCTAGTAATCTACAGGTAGAGGGATGGGGTGTGTTGAGGAGAATTGGAGAGTGAACCTTTAGAGAATCTGCTGCACCATATGGGACTGAGAGAGTGTGATCGTGCGAGCGACACGGTCACGAGAGATCTCCAAGCCCAGATAGTGCTTCAGCTTCCCAAAGTTTGTACAGGTGAGCCTCCTAAGCAACTCGGCCTTCACTGAGGCCAGTGTGACTCTGTCAGGAGTAGCAAATATAAGATCATCTACGTACACTAGGATGTAGAACGGGATGTGACCCGTGCGAACAAAGAGAGAGGGGTCAGCAGAGGAAGGAAAGAACTGCAGCTCAGCAAGAGTGGTGCAAAGCGTGTCATGCCACTCACGGGGTGCCTGACGAAGGCCGTAGACAGAGCGGCGCAGGATCCACTCCGTCCTATGTGGGAAGGACCCAAAGAAGCCTAGAGGGCGTCGGAGGTAGATCTGCTCGTGCAAATTACCCTGCAGGAACGCTGTGGAGAAGTTGAGTGAGCGAAGCTCGTAGTCACGCCGCGCGGCTATGTGGAGGAGCACCTGAAGAGTAGTCATCTTTGAGGTCACGGAGAAGGTCTAGAAGAAGTCCACACACTCACCCTGACTGAAACCTCTAGCCACGTAACGCCCCTTGAACTTCGACGACTCTATAAGAGCATGCTTCACCCTGTAGATCCACATGCCATCGACTACGTTCGCCCCAGGTGGGGGAGCTACGTCGACGTATGTGCCTGTGGATGCGTAGGATGCCATCTCAAACTAGGCTGCCCAAGGCCCCGACACCACCTCACCTTAAGAGCGCGGAACAGGAATGCCGAGAGTGTCTAGGTCGCCCTCGGGGAATACAAGCATGGAGCATAGATGGGGAACAGTGACAGCAAGGTAGGCCAACTCGTACTGCCAGTCCTCTAGCACTTCATTGCCAAGGGCAGATGCACCCCTGAAGGACGGAGGATGGGCAGTACCAGAGACCAGAGCAGCAGCCTAGTCAAGGCGGTGGCTAGCAGCAAAGTCAGCTACAGCAGCGACAAGCGCAGAGACGGTCTCAAGAGGAGCAGTAGGGTCAGTGACAAGGAGGAGTAGTGCTGTCACAGGATCGAATGTGTCGAGGAAAGATTGCACTATCGATCAGTACAAGGTGCTTTTATACTTCCAGAGTACATCAGGTAACCAGGTTTATCTTATCCTAAGGGAATAGACCCTTCTAGAAGATAGAATCACCCTGCGTATAGCCACGCGAGGCTATTGGCTTTAAGGGATTACAGCAGGATTACGCTAGATAGAGCGCACCAGTACATCCCAAGCCTGGTCGGTGATATAATTAGAATAGCAGGATAAACCAAAGGTTAATGGAAAAGGAAGAATAGGAAACCAAATGAGATGGAATAAAAGAGGAATGAAAAAGGAAGGAAAGAAGAAAAGGCCAAGTGGTGTAACGAGGTCGTACTCTCACACTTCCCCCCCTCAAAGCTGGGTGGTAGAAGTAACACCCTGCTTGACAAGGTAGTCATGCAGAGGACGACGGGCGTTACCCATGTCGGACTCAGGGACCCAGCTGTCCTCAGAAGGATCATAACCCTTCCAACGGATGAGAAGCTCCATGGTGCCATTCCGACGTCGGCGGTGTGCTAGCACGGACTCGACCTCGTACTCGGGTTCATTGTGAACGAGGACGGGCGGCGGCGGCGGCGGTTGGCGTCCGACGAAGATCGTGTTCGGATCCCGGTAGGGCTTCAGAAGCTGGACATGGAAGGCGTTGTGAATCTTCCAGGTAGCTGGCAGGCGTAAGCGGAAGGTAACAGGAGTGACCTGTGCTTCAACGAGAAAAGGCCCGCAGAAGCGAGGTCGAAGTTTAGATGGGAGGTGGCTGATGTCCAGGTTGCGGGTGTCAAGAAGCACCTGGTCTCCCACCGTGATGGTGTGGTCGTTGCGATGGCGATCGGCCTGGTGCTTCTGTTGCTGTTGAATGTCAAGGAGGCGCTTGTGGGTCCGATCCCAAAGCTGATGCATGGTTGTGATGAAATCATGTGCAGGTTGTACTGTAGCGGATGTTGTCGGTTTCTGTGGTGTGAGTGGGTGGCGTCCGTAGCAGAGGAAGAACGGCGTCTGTCCAGTAGCGGCATGCGTAGCATTGTTGTAAGCAAACTCTAGTACGGGCAGGTGCAAGTCCCATTTGCAGATGTCGTCCTTGCAGGCTGCTCGGAGGAGTTGCTCAACAATTTGGTTGAGGCGCTCGGTCTGTCCGTCTGTCTGCGGATGGTATGCGGATGACATGGCGAGTTTGGTCCCGAGAAGCGATATAAGTTCCTTCCAGAACTTGCTGGTGAACTTGGGATCTCGGTCGGAAATGAGTGTGGTTGGGATGCCATGCTGTGAGATGATGTGACGAACGAAGAGCTGTGCTGTCTCCTCGGTGCGTGCCGTCGTGTGTGTCGGGATGAAGTGTCCCATTTTAGAGAACTTGTCAATGACGACAAGGATTGCGTCATGACTGCTGGTGGTAGGTGGTAACCCGGTGATGAAGTCTAGGTTGACCACTTGCCATGGCTGTTCTGGGACAGGAAGAGGCTGCAGTAGTCCCGCCTTTTTCTGCTTGCTGCTCTTCATCCGCTGACATGTATCACACGAGGTGACGAATTTCTGGACGTCATCTGCCATATGGGGCCAGTAGTAGTGTTTGGCGATACCGGTGAGCGTCTTGTTGCTACCGAAGTGTCCGGCGTAGAGGACGTCGTGGTATTCTTCGAGTAGTAACTGGCGCAAAGGAGGGTAATTGGGTACCCAGATTTTTTTTGATCCTTTCCGGTACGCAATGTCACTGTCCCACTGTAGCAGATGTCGCTTTTCTGCCAAGGGGATTTCGGGGTCGATGGCGTACCCGTGTGTGAAGAGTCCCTTGAGTAGTGGATTCATCCCTTCAATCTGAATAGCGGCAACGTGTGCAGGCCGGCTGAGAGCGTCTGCTTTGTTTTTGTGGCCGGGCTTGTACACGATGTTGTAGTGGAAGTGTGTCTCGAGGAAGTCGATCCACCGGACCTGCCGCCTGGAAAGATTGGGTTGTGTCTTCAAGTATTTCAGGCTGCAGTGATCGGTGTAGACGGTTGTTCTTCGTCCTTCGAGATAACATCTCCACGCTTTGAAGGCGATGACGATGGCAAGGGCCTCTTTGTCGTGTATCGGGTAGTTTAGTTCTGCTCCGTGTAGTTTCTTGCTGAGGTAGGCGATTGGTTGCAGTCCATTCCCCTGGTCTTGCATTAAAACTGCCCCCACTACCTGGTCGCTGGCGTCAGCTTCGATCACGTAGTCGCGTTCGGGATCTGGCAAGATGAGTACCGGTACGGACGTGAGTGCTTGTTTTAGCTGCTCCACGGCTTCCTGGTGCTTTGATTCCCATTTATAGGGCGTGTTCTTCTTCAGCAGATTCGTGAGTGGTGCTGCGATTTTCGCATACTGTGGCACGAACCTGTTGTAGTAATTAGCGAAGCCTAGGAACTGCTGCAACTCCTTCACGTTCTCGGGTGTCTTCCACGTGCGTACTGCCTCGATTTTCTTGGGGTCGACGTGAACTCCTTGAGCGCTCACCATGTGTCCTAGGAACTGGACCTTTTCAAGGGCGAATTCGCTCTTGGACAGTTTGACGTAGAATCGTTCCCGTCGAAGAATTTCGAAGACGCGTCGCAGGTGTTCGACGTGCTGCTTCATGTCGCGCGAGTAGATGAGTATGTCGTCCAGGTACACCGCCACGCATTCGTCCAGAAGTGGTCGTAGAATGTGGTTCATTTCGGCTTGGAACGTTGCCGGCGCGTTGGTGAGTCCGAACGGCATTACCAAATACTCGTACGATCCATACCAAGTTCGAAAAGCAGTTTTGTGGATAGAGTTGTCCGCCATCCGTATCTGCCAGTATCCGGACCGCAGATCCAGTTTGGAAAATACCGTAGCTCCCCGAAGCTGGTCAAGCAGGTCATCGATTCGCGGTATCGGATATTTATTCTTGATGATCTGCTTGTTAAGAGCTCGGTAGTCGACGCACATGTGCAGGCTTCCATCCGGTTTCGGTGTGAAGAGTACTGGGGCACCGTATGGCGAAGTGGATGGCCGGATGAGTCCTTTGGCTAGGAGATACTCGATCTGTTTTTTCATGTCAGTCAGTTCCGTAGGGCTGAGCCGGTATGGTGCTCGGAAGGTCGGCTTCGAACCAGGTTCCTCCACGATCTCATGTTGATGCGTTCGGTATGGCGGTAGCTCGTTCGGAAGATCGTTAGGAAGAATGTCTTGGAACTCCTTCAGTAATTCCTTGATTTGTTCTGGAGTTTCCGAGGCTTTCTCTCCGTCATTCTCTACCTCTGTTGCTATCGCCAGGAACCCGGTGTCGGTCCGCTTCACGTCCTTCTCGAATCGTGCGAGTGTCTCCACTGGGATATCTCCAGTATCGTCCCAGTTGGGTAGCTGTACTCTCCGTCCATTGTTGTAGATGCTTGCGGTGCGGTTCACCCAGTTGATCTCGGGGTTGAATCTTTTCAGGAAGTCTCGCCCGAAGATCAGGTCAAGCCCTTTGATGTTGGTGATGGGGAGTGCAGGTCTCCAGCGCAGTGGTCCGATTTGTAGGTGTAGCACTGCTTCGCCGTATACTGGTAACTTGCTGCCGTCCACCATCGTTGCAGAGAATCCTGAAGGCTTGTACTCTTCCCGTAGTCGGTCGATTACTGCTTTGTTGCAGACGGTGTGTGACACTCCGCTGTCCACGAGTGCTTGGAGGCGTCGTCCTTTGCAGATGACCTCGAGCACGAGGGGCAGTCGTTGCTCGGAGTACCCAAAGATAGTTTCATTGATTGGGTCGTAGGGTACATCCCAATACTCCGTACACACCTTTGTGTTGCTATCTACTCCTGAGCTGGCAGCTGGCCGAGGCTGCTTGGAGAACGGCTCTTCTCCAGGGCCCGGACTTTCCTTGACGACTGTGCGCGTCACTGATGCCGAAGAACTGGATGCATCCGTAGGAGGAGTTCAGGGTTTGTGCAGCTTCTTGTAGACCCCCAGCTTCCTCTTGAGCTGCTTCAGCTCCACCGACGTCTTCCCTGGGGAACGGGTAGTCGTTGTGGGCTGGTGTCGGGAGAGGACGTTGACTCCGTGGAAAGGTCGGCTTCTTTCCACACTCCTTAATTTGGTCCCCAAGTTTTCCGGTACCGGTATAATCTCCACAGCTTTCTGCTTCTTTTGGAGTCCCTCCCGAATTTTCTCCAAGGCTCTAGCCCCTCGAAATTCATAAGTTTTCATTAAAGCATATTTATAAGATAACTTTAACGAATTCTTATGATTTCTTGGGTCTTCAAGGAGTTTCCCTATCTCGGCAGAGTCTTTTTTCGCGGAGTCGTATTTTTCCTCGGCGATTTTCCCTGGCGAAGACTGGTCGTGGGGTGGAGATTTTCCCCCATCATTTCCTCCTTCTCGCGTCGAATCAGCTTCGTCGAAGTTGATTTTTCCGGAATCCCGCAGCCGTTTTCGGATCTTTTTATTTTCGCCAGCTAGATCCGCAATCACTGGCAACTCCCATTTTTTGGCTTCTGATTGGCTGAAGGAATTCCGCCACTGTTGCGTGCCCAATACTCTGCACGTGCGGTCTTCATTTTGTTGCAGTCGAAGATTCGATGACCTGGCACCCCGCAAAAATCACACGTGTAGTTGGTGTTTTTCGGACGTGGCCGCCCTTCGAATCTGTCGACTTCCATCGGGTCGGCGAACGTGGGGTGAGCCGAGCGGTCGCCCTGTCGCGTACTGGCGACGTGCGTCCGTCGTGTTCCGGCGTTGACCATGTCGAAGCGCTCCGCTACCGAAACGACGTCACTGTAGCTCGCGTAGTTTGACGCAGCGACTTGTCGTTTGACTTCGGTCTTCAGCCCGGCGAGGTACGATTGTACTTTTTCCCCTTCGGTCAGATCGGGAATGCGGTTATAAAATTCTTCCATTTGCTGCGTGTACTGCGCTACACTCCCGAACTGTCGGTGTCGATGAATTTTTTCCCGGGCAAGGAAACTCGAATTTATCGGCTCGAATCGTTTCAGCAGGTCGGTGCGGAACTGCTGCCACGTGGCTTCACTGTGGATGAAAGTACTGTTGCCGCCAATCCACTCGAGTGCCGGCCCTCGCATCAGTGTCGCCGCGAGTCGTACACGTTGTCCGTCCCAGACTGGCGAGCTCCATCCGACGGCTGCGAAGTAGATCTCCATCCCGGCGATCCATCTGCGGGCATCGGAGTTTCGATCGCTCGGATCGAACGGCTCAGGTGGGCGCGGTTTCGGAGCCTCGAGAAACTGCTGCGTCGTCGCCGTTGTCGTCTCGTGCTGCGCTCCGGCGAGTCGAGTTACTCGCTCGAACTGGTTTCGCCACGCTTCGCGATCCGCTCGCATTTCCTCCTGAAGGGCTGCGATGCGCGCGAAGAGCTGCTGGGTAACCTCGGCGTTGTCGAAGGTTGCCATCCTGTTCAAAAGACGCACGGAGGGGGTAATTCGAAAATCGCGGAGCTGGTGCTTACCAGAATCGGCGTCGAATTGGTCGCCCCCGGCGGTTTTTCGAGGCAGGATCCCCGCTGCTGCTGCTTAGCTGAGCGAGGTCGAGTGAGAAAAGCTCTGATTACCAAGTGTCACAGGATCGAATGTGTCGAGGAAAGGTTGCACTATCGATCAGTACAAGGTGCTTTTATACTTCCAGAGTACATCAGGTAACCAGGTTTATCTTATCCTAAGGGAATAGACCCTTCTAGAAGATAGAATCACCCTGCGTATAGCCACGCGAGGCTATTGGCTTTAAGGGATTACAGCAGGATTACGCTAGATAGAGCGCACCAGTACATCCCAAGCCTGGTCGGTGATATAATTAGAATAGCAGGATAAACCAAAGGTTAATGGAAAAGGAAGAATAGGAAACCAAATGAGATGGAATAAAAGAGGAATGAAAAAGGAAGGAAAGAAGAAAAGGCCAAGTGGTGTAACGAGGTCGTACTCTTACAAGTGCGAGTAGCGTCAAAGCAAGGAGGGGAGGAATGCGGGAGCGATGACGGAGGAAGTAATGGAAGCACGGGGACAGGAGAAGCACAAGAATGGAGGACCATAGGGTGGACACTACGATAGGGAGAGACTGGACGAGCACCATAGGGGCGACGGACCTAGTGGAGAAGAACAGGGGACTGAGGACGAGGGGGAACGGGGGACAAGTCAAGGGAAAGAGGGGAGCGCGGGGAAAAACGAGCCTGAGAGAAGTCCGTAGGAGGGAACAGTGAGCCGAAATCAGGGTCACGCACCAAAGGGGGAATGGGCGGGCGGACTGGGTAACCTGGAGCAAGAGCAAGGAGACGAAGGGCAGATTGTGGCTGTTCCTACTATGGCGGCAGCACCGGCTGCTGTTGCTGCTGCGGCTGCACCTGCTGCTGTGGCTGCTGCCGCCCCCTTTCCTAAACCTCCAGCAACACCTCAGCTACCACTACCACTCCTCGAAACAACACCCCCAGGACTGGCACCCTCGGACGCACCACCCACAGAACCAGCACCCCAGAGGCAGCACCCGCAGAACTCACACCTCCAGAACTAGCACCCCCAACACCAACCCCGCCAACACCAGCACCCCTAGAGCCCACTGCTCCCTACTGCTGATGCTGTGGCCGTCGAGGCTGCTGCGGCGACGACTGCTGCTGCGGAGGCAACAAGGGGAGGCGGCTGAAGTGCCTTGGGTACCGAAGCTGGGGGAGGCGTCACAAGGACCGCAGGCGCGCCCCCAGCAGCTGAGCCCCCAGAGTCAGCCGACTCCCCCACGGGCCCAACCGAGGGGAAGTGTGGCGTGGGAGACACCAGACTGGGGCGGGCAGGGTGGGAGGGGTGTGGCAAGCGAGGCAGGGACGAGGAAGAGAGGAGGGGAAGAGGCATATGAGTGCTACGGTGCGGGAAGCACCGGTAGTAAGGGAGCATCTCATCGAAAGTAACAGCACGAGAGGGGTAGAAGCGGTGGTGTGACGGGTGGTAGAACAGCCAGGCAAGGGCATCAAGCGAAAACCCAGGAAAACACATAGAAGGGTGCGGGCTGAGGGCTTGTCGGAACGGGTAGCGCGGACGTGAGCAAGGCAGCCCTAGATGTGAAATGCTGACGCATCACCAGGAGACCCGGTTCAGAGAAGGGTCGGCGAAACCTGCGGCCGCTGGGAGCGGGGCCACAGGTTAAGCTGGTGAGCAACATAGCACACGACGAACGGCCACAAAAAATGGGGTGCTCCGGCGTGGACCATGGAGGTGCGAGCTACTTCCATGATCAAGCCGATGCGACACTCAGCGATTCCATTTTGCTGTGGGGAGTCCGGTAGGGTGTACATTTGGCGGATGCCCTTCGCATGACAGAACCGTCCTAGAGTGCCAGAGGCAAACTCGCCATCACGGTCGGCGTGTAAGCAACCCACAGGCAGGTGGTGGTAGGTGCGACCAGCAAGAAGCCACGGGAGGAGAACGATAGGCATGTTAGCCTTCCGCTCCAACGGGAACACTGTGGTGAAATGCGAGAATTTGTCAACGACGACTAGAAAGTAGCGCTCCCGACGAAGACCATGGACCAGGTCAAGGCCCGAGAAAACCATGTGCAGTGTCTGTAGCGGCACTGTTGTACGAGGAAATGAAGAGGAGTGAGGGGCAGCGCGCTGCCGGCCCTCAACACAAGACGTGCACAGGGGCGCTACAGACGTAGGCAGTTCAAGGAGCGATGCAGGGAGTCCAGTGGCTAGACCGTGCTGGGACATGTGCCTAAGACGCGGGAGTGCAGGGTGACCTAAGCGGTGGTGCCATAGAAGGGTCGGGTGGGCCAGTGAGCAACAGGAGCAGGACGCGACGACCTCAGCAGACGCAATAGTTGGCACGAACTCAGTGTGTAGTGCAAAGGGACCCGACCCTGGGTCATGTTCAAAAGTGGCGACCGGTGGCTGTGTCTGTGCAAGCGGCGTGTCTCTCGCAGCCTGGGAACGTAGTGGTGACACCTCGGTCCTGAAGGTGACCGATACCTACTAGGTTCCTGGCAAACGAGGGGATGTGCAGACCGGTGAGGAGCCAGAGGGGACAGCTGGATAGGGAAGAATGGTGGTGCTATGTGCAACAGCTGTGGCTGAGGAGTCTGTTAGTGCGACGTGGACAGGCGCAGGGAGCGGGGTGAGAGCAGTACTGTCGCGAAAGAAACAACAAGACGTGCCAGAGTCGGGGACAAAGGAGTGGGCCAACGTGGCGGGGCCGAGTGACAAATCTCTAACATATCCTACACCTGACACAGCAGGGGAGTCTACACTTGACGTAGCATGGAATCCTAGACTACACACAGCAGTGGCTCCTGGACTACAAAAAACATGGTAATAAGAACTAGCAACACTAGAAGCATAAAAATTCAGAGCATACAAGGCTGAATCATATCCATATCAAATATAGGAACCCCACGACGAAGCAAGATAGAGACCAAGGGGGTACCTGCCAGGGCTGATTTTATCAGACTATTTTAGTATGATTGTCTGAAATTTCAGACCTATTTTTTTGCCGATCCTGATTTTTCAGACTTGCCATTTTCTGAATGCTGAACCCTTCAGACTTATATGTTTTTGAATCCTAAGAATCTCAGACTTCGCAGTTTGCGGATACTGAGTTTTCAGAGCGCAGCGCGTACGGACCCTGAGACACACATACTAGTACTGCACCTCCCTGCCCTCACCCAAAAATTTCGTCTAAGTCCCCAAGGGCCAGAGTCAAGTCCTTTCACACACACCCCGCCCCGCAACCTAAAAAATCCGGCTAAGTCCTAGCAGCCAGAGATAGTTCCCCCCAGCACATTTCTTCCCTACTCGCCTCGCAGCCCCAGAAATTCGACCAAGTCCCCACAGACAGACACATCCCTCCCACACCTCTTGCGACCTTGAAATTTCGGCTAAGTCCCCACAGCAAGAAATATCCCTCCCTCAGCTCCCGCAACCCGGAAAAATCGTCGAAGTCCCTTGCAGCCATAAAAAAAATCCTCCCACAAACCCCCGCAACGGGCAATCCTGCTTATTACCCGACTTTTGTGAAGTTCCTAAAAGGGGTAACAAGAAAATCATTCATCTGGCTGGCGATTTTTTTTATTTTGTTTTTCTGATTTCTCAGACGATGTGAAACTAACTCTAAAAAATCACACTGTCCACGGCTCAATTGAGGGAGTGTTGTTTTCCAACACGACACTTTCAGGCAACTTCGTGTCATTGCTGATTTTGCAGTCAAATTTGCCAGTCAATCACAATTTTGATACAAAGTGTCGTGACGGTGTATCGTGTACGAACAGGCCCTGAGGGGGAGAATTCGAAAAGGAGGGGAGGGGGAATCGAGTTCGAGGGGGAAAGGGGGAGGGAATCAAAACCGAGGGAAGGGGTGAAGCGAAATGGAGGGGAGGGGGGGGGGGAAGGGAGGGGGGAACGAAACGGAGGGGAGGGGGGGTGGGGGTTCGAAACAGAGGGGAGGCGTGGAAGCGAAACGGAGGGGAGGGGGGAAGCGAAACGGAGGGGGAGGGGGGGGGGGGGTGTGGGTTCGAAAATTGAGGGGGAGGGGAGAGGATCGCGCCCCGGTTGATCGATCTTGGACGTTTATCACTTGCAACCATCGAATGGTTAAAAAACGTCGAAACGATCGCAATCGATCGTGACCGTCACATTTTTATAGAATTTCAGTTGACCAAACGGGCAGCTGTCGAGAATTTCGCCTAATAGAAATGACTGTTATTAGAATGCGGAATTTACTCTTAGTCGAATGCAACTTAAAAAAAAACTGAAATCCTCTCCCCTAGTTGCCGAATCAGGTTTTTTTTAACACGCCCTGATGAAAAGGCAATTTTTTGCTAGGAAACTCTGATGAATCCACGTAAATTTTCTTGACGAAAAGCAGATGAATCATGGTACCCTAAAACCAGTCGTGGGGCCTGGTGTGAATTCTGGAAATATAAGATTTCGACTTGGGCGCAGGGCTCTGAGTCGACATTCTGAACCCTGAGTATTTCAGACTCGTTGACTTTTGGACACTGAGATTTCAGAGTAGCGAAATTTCGAAAAATGGCCCTTCAGACTCGGGAAATTTTTGGGGGGGCAAAATCAGAGTGCCTTTTTTTGAAACGTCAGCCCTGGTACCTGCATCAACGGGCCGAAGTGACGGCAATAGAGGTTGTCCAGGTAGCAGAAGCAGCGAGCGGCGGTGTGCCCCGTGCGCCCGCATACCTTCGGGCCGGTCAACAGCTGGTACTTGCAGGTTACTGCACCTCCAGAACCACCAGCACCCTTGCTCATAGAAGAGCCAACCCCCTCCACCAGCTGCTGCCGACCCCCCATGACCCTTGACCCCTTACCCATGCCCTTGCCACCAGAGGAGCGGGCGGGGGCAGAGGCAGCCGCTGCATTCTCAGCTACAGAGGCGAAGGCAGGAGGGACAGTCACCGGGAAGGGAGCGCTACCCTGAAAGATACGGACTGTTGGGGCGCCAGTGGAACCTGCGATGGCACGGAGGCGGTCCTCTACCTCAGTAAGGGAGCGTACGTGAGCTCAGAGGGGTGACGAGCGAGGAGCGTGTCGCGGGCAGGGGCAAGGTGGCGTGGGCGAGCTAGGAAGCTAGCTGGCCAACGAGCTGGTTGGCGAGCGAGGTGGCTAGGTGGCTCGCTGGCCGGCTGGCTGGCGTACGGAATGAGGGGAACACTAGGGGGGGGGGAGGTTTCGAGACAAGGGGTGCGAAATAAGAGAGGGAGAGGTGCGCGAAATTGAGAGAGCGAGACGCGCGAAAAATGAGAGTCTAAAGTAATGGCGGAAGCGTGATTAACAGCGGAAAAAATCTAACCTAGCTCAATACCATGTTAGAGTAGCGGGAAAAGGTATAACTAGGAAGAGGAAAGGTGAGATACAAGTATAAGAATATTGTCCCCTCTAAGAACTGACCTAGCTAGGCTATAACAAACATATATAAACTACCTAGATATGCGTAGACTAAACTATATGTTTGTTTGACACTCCTAGCGCTACGCTTCCGTCGTTACTGTAGCCCGTTTTTTCTCGCGCAATTCTCGCTCTCCGAATTTAGCGCTTCGTACGATCCCCCCCCCTCCCCCCCCCCCTCTAGCGCCCCTCCATTTCGTACGCAGTCAGCCAGCCAGTGCGCCAGCCAACTAACAGCTCGCTAGTCCGCTCGCATGCCAGCCCGCCAGCTAACTCGCCAGTTCTAGCTGCGCCAGCCTTCCCGCCCGCCCTTAGCTCGCCATTTCGTTCCACCTGGCTGCCACCAGCCCTTCCTCGCCTCTAGTGTGCCTAGCCAGCACCTCCCCTCCCGCAGGCGCTACTAGCCACCTTGCCGCCAGCTCGCCCAAGTCGCCGCCAGCCAGCTAGCCGCTGGCTCACCGCCGCCGCCCAGCAGCAACTCGCTCGTCACGAGCTCGCCAGCCTGCCGCCGCGCTGCCAGCTGCCAGCAGCGAGCGCGCCACTGGCACTCCAGCCAGCAGCCGCCAGCAGCCGCCAGCAGCCGCCAGCAAGCCGCCAGCCTGATCGCCAGATGCTAGCTGCCGCCAGGAAGCACGCCACTGGTTTGCCAGCCAGCAGCCGCCAGCAAGCCGCCAACCCGCTCGCTAGCTGCCAGCATCCGCCAGCAAGCATGCCGCTGGCTCACCAGTTAGCAGTTGCCACCACGCCGCCATTCCGCTCGCCAGCTGCCAGCTCGCCGCCAGCGGCGCCAGCCAGCTCACCGCCAGCCAGCACGCCACCAGCAGCGCCAGGCAGCTTGCCGCCAGCAGCGAACGCACCGCTGGCTCGCCAGCCAGCATCGGCCAGCACGCTGCCAGCTCGCTGCTAGCTGCCAGCTTGCTTCCAGAAGCGGCCCGCCGCTGCCGCTAGCCACCAGCAGCCGCCAGCTTGTCGCTAGCCACCAGCTTGCCACCAGCAATGCCAGCAGCGAGCGCGCCACTGGCTCGCCAGCCAGCTATGGCCAGCAAGCCGCCTACTCGCTCTAGGCGACTATCGCCTCCGGCGCAGCGAAAGTATTTAGTAAATACTTGTGCAAATAGCCTCAAGGGCCTTGCCTCATAATCTGATCTCTAAGTGGTTGCAAGTTGTCAATACACACAAGCATTCCACTAGTTCCAATGAGATACAAAGCACAAATGTTCAAACAGATTTATAGTGGAAGTACAAGCGATTTCGCGCTTCGTAACTGCCGTGTGCGCTGTGAGTAACTCGCGCGCCTTGTGTCATGCCGAGTCGCACACGCAATCGTGACTTTCTTGCTGAACACACCGCTGGTCTGAAGTACGAATGCTTGTTGAACACGTCCCGTCCGAAACCCAACTTTTGCCCCACGTCAATCTGTTTCTCGCCACTTCCACTCCTTTCTTCCACTCAATCACTCTTTTCTCTAACCTTCTCTCTTGCTTCTTTCCTTTCAGTACACCTCTTGCTCACGCAATATCCACTTCCTAGTTCCTTCTCGTCCCAAGTCCGCATTTCTCTCCTCGTCACCCCAAGTCACGAGTAGTCCGTCGTGGGTGGCGGAACCACTCCGACAACCTCCCCTGTGGTTCTGCCAACCACGCACCTCCCATGTGATTCTCTCTTCTACTGCTCCCCTGTAGTCTCCATCCTCGCACTCTAAGTCAGCTCCATACTCCCCTGCAACTGCTTGGCTTTCTGCTTTTGCTTACCAGGCTTGAATGGATAACTCTGAACCCTCAGATTAGGATTGGTCTGCTTCTTCTCCTCACTGTACTCCTTGCTGTACTCCTCGCCCTCAGTAGAGTCACCAATCTCTCTTGCCCATTCTAGGAAACCCTCACAATCACTGAACAACTCGTCGCTAGCCCGTACTATCCATCCTTCCTTACTGACCTCCAAAATCTTACCAAACCAGTCGATAGTCGTTACTGTCTGCTTCTCCCCCTCAGGTTCCTCTAACTGCTCTATCTCCTCTTTCCTTGTCTTTGCTGCTACCTGCTTCTGTTTCTCCTCCCATCCTGTTTCTCCAACCTTTGCCTCCACTCCGTTGGCCATCATTGTGCTTGTTGCAAGGTCTCCAGCATCCTGCTTCTTAGCCGCCTCAGCTCCTTTCTCCTCCCTCACAACCACGACTTCGTTGCTTATGTTGTCCTCCTCATACCCATCCGTTACTAACAGCTTCGGCATAAAATCCATCTCGTAGAAACCCCGCTTCAGCTTCCCGTCTGCAACCACTTCCCATGTTGGACCAAATACTGTAACCTTGCCCCGGTCGTTGAGCACCTTACAACCCAATGCATCCATCTGTGACTGACTGATCAGATTCATGGATAGGTCCTTCACCAGCAGTACTCCTTTCAGCTTCAGTTCCCTGAACCTGCTACGCAGTAGGACGCCACCTTCTCCAGTGACGGGTAACTTTGTGTTATCTCCCTGCAGTATGAACTTCTCACTCGACTCCCTCACATTCTCCAACCAGTCTGACCTGTTCGTTATGTGCTGTGTACAGCCACTGTCGAATTACCAGCCGTGGAGCTTGAACTCGTCAGCTCGCATGTTTGACGCACGCGCAATGTTCGCCCGATGTGCGCCTCCAAGGATAGGATCTTCTTTCTCCTTTTCTGCTTCCATCACGTTCGCCTTCGGTGCATTCCGCAGCTAATGTGCTGGACCCCTAGAACTCTTGCTGTTTGGATTGGAAGAGCAATCTGCTGCCCTATATCCGTACCTCCCACAGAAATCGCAGGTGCCTCCAAACCCCTTCCGTTGCTGCCAACCTTCTCCGTCGCTTGCAGCTTCCTTCCCCTTATAGTTCCTGCTCTTAGGATTGTCGTAGCAGTCTATCGCCTTGTGCCCTTTCTTACCGCAATGGTAACAAGCACCACTAATCCTCCAAGCCGCTGCTGCATTTACCATCCCCGGCTTCTCCTGCCCGCCATATGCAGCTTCTGTCTTCCCCTTGCTCGCTGTCTTCATCGCCTCAATCGACTGCAGCTTGTCCACTAACTGCGTCATGCTCTCTGGAGGGTGAAGAACAAGGCCGCTCTTCTCTGCTGCCCACATCTCAGGTAGTCCACTCGCTAGATGCTCGATCATTTGCTCCTCGTTCTCACCATCTCCCATCGCCGCTAGCTCATCGTTGAGGCTGCACGCCTTGTTGACGTAATCGATGATCTTCTCTTCCTCTCCCATGCTGAGCAACAACAATTTCTTACGCACAGCAGACTTGTTAGCGTTGCTTGGCCTAAGATACATGCTCTCCAAACATGCCCAGGCCTTCTATGCAGAATTCACCTCACGCTTAAACGGGTCCAAATTGACGGCAATACTGTCGGAAACTGAGTGACACAATTGAAAGAACGCTTGCTTACTCTTCCTCTTGAATTCTGCAATTTTCTCCGCCGCCTCCATCTCAGTAGGAGGTACTCCCTCCCCTGTCTCTTTGTCCGGCGAGTAGTAGGGCCAGAGATCCACCTCCTCTGCCCTTCGACTGAAATTCAAGCGCCACGTACTGTAGCTGCTTCCATTGAAACGTTGGGCATCGCTGAGCCCAATCGTCGGTTTCGCCACTAACTGCCCCCTCGACAGGGCCTCCAGGAGAGCTCTCATCTGCGGGTCTCCAATGCCCACACTGGATCCCGAACTAACCTCGTCACCCGCCATGACGTAGGCTTAGGCTCCTCTCCTTTAACTCGTCTGCTCTACTTAGCGCACTAAGTAGACTCCACGCAGAAAAATTCACCAGCAATTAGACGCTTGCTCTGATACCAGTTCTAGGTGACTATCGCCTCCGGCGCAGCGAAAGTATTTAGTAAATACTTGTGAAAATAGCCTCAAGGGCCTTGCCTCATAATTTGATCTCAAAGTGGTTGCAAGTTGTCAATACACATAAGCATTCCACTAGTTCCAATGAGATACAAAGCACAAATGTTCAAACATATTTATAGTGGAAGTACAAGCGATTTCGCGCTTCGTAACTGCCGTGTGGGGTGTGAGTAACTCGCGCGCCTTGTGTCATGCCGAGTCGCACGCGCAATCGCGACTTTCTTGCTGAACACGCCGCTGGTCCGAAGTCCGAATGCTTGTTGAACACGTCCCGTCCGAAACCCAACTTTTGCCCCACGTCAATCTGTTTCTCGCCACTTCCACTCCTTTCTTCCACTCAATCACTCTTTTTTCCAACCTTCTCTCTTGCTTCTCTCCTTTCAGTACACCTCTTGCTCACGCAATATCCACTTCCTAGTTCCTTCTCGTCCCAAGTCCGCATTTCTCTCCTCATCACCCCAATTCACGAGTAGTCCGTCGTGGGTGGCGGAACCACTCCAACACTCGCCACTCGCCGCCAGCACACGGCCAGCTCACAGCCAGCAGCCGCCAGCAGCGGCCAGCAGCTGTTAGCAGCCACCGCAAGCCACCACCAACCACCAGCTTGCCGCCAGCTACCGTCAGCAGCTGCCGCTAGCTGCCAGCAGTTGCCAGCTCGTCGCTGGCCACCAGCTCGCCGCCCTCGCCACCAGCAACGCCCGTAGCAGCAGCAACGCCCGCAGCAGCCGCAGCTGCCGTGGGGGCAGGTGCGCTCTGGGAGTGGTAATTGTGGTGGAGGCCGTGGAGGTTGGGCGTCAGGGAAGTCGGTAACCTTGGGGGCGAGTGGCTCTTCTGTGAGCCACAGAGTTGGTGGTCCTGGAGGCATGGTGACCTGCACGTACCAGGTGCTGACCGGCCAGCAGGTGGGCCTGGTTTGCAAGCGCGCAGGGCACACCGTTACTCGCTGCTACCGTCGCCACTTCGGCCCTCTTGTGCAGGTACCCTACTGGCCCACCTTGCTTCGTTGTGGTGTTCCAATCTTTGATCAGGATATACTTTAGATAGATCATGCCCCGTATTTTTTGTATGCTGATGACTCTAGTGACGCTGTTTCTTACTATTCTACTATTTTTAGCCTAGGAGCTATTGCTATGTGTAGTCTAGGATCCCCTACTGCATCAGGCATAGATTCCTCTGCCGCGTCAGGCATAGGCTCTATTAGAGATACTTTACTGGGCCCCGCCACCTCGGGCCTCTCCCTTACCCTAGACTCTGGCGCATCCCGTTGCTTCTTTAGAGACAGTAATGCTCTCACCTCGCTTCCTGCACCTGACCGTATTGCACTTGCAGGCTCCTCAACCACAGCTGTCGCATGCAACACCACCACACTCCCTATCCAACTGTCCCCTCCAGCTCCCTCACTGGTCTGCGCATCACCTCGTTTGCCAAGAACTTAGTGGATGTCGGTCACCTCCAGGACTGATGCCTTACCACTACATTCCCTTGCCGCAAGGGCCACGCAGCTTGCACAGACACAGCCACCGGTCGCCACCTAACCACCTTTGAGTGTGACCCAGCATCCGGTCTCTTTACCCTGCACACTAAGTCACCGCCAGTTGCTGCGTTTGCTGAGGTTGTCGCGTCCTGTTCCTGTCGCTCATTTGCCCACCTGACGCTACTGTGGCACCATCGCTTAGGTCACCCTGCACTCCTGCGTCTTAGGCACATGTCCCAATACGGTCTAGTCACTGGTCTCCCTGCATCACTCCCAGCCTTACCTACGTCGGTCGCGCCACTGTGCACCTTCTGCGTCGAGGGCCGGCAGCACGCCACTCCTCACTCCTCTCCATTTATCCTACCACAGCGCCACTACAAACAGCGTGCACATGAACGTCTGAGGCCCTGCCCCAGTCCATGATCTTAGTCGGGAGTGCTACTTCTTTGTAGTCATTGACAACTTCTCGCGGTTCACTCCAGTGTTCCCGTTGGAGCGGAAGGCCGATGTGCCTACCGTTCTCCTCTCGTGGCTCCTAGCCATTTGCACCCACCACCGCCTGCCCGTAGGTCGCTTACACTCTGACCATAGAGGCGAATTTGCCTCTGGCACTCTAGGACAATTCTGTCGTGCGAAGGGCATCCACCAGACGTACACATTGCCGGAATCCCCACAGAAGAATGGGTTTGCTGAGCAATGCATCGGCCTGGTCATAGAGGTAGTTCCCACCTCCGTGGTCCACGCCGGTGCACCCCATTTTCTGTGGCCGTTTACAGTGTGGTTTGCTGCTCACCAGCTTAATCTGTGGCCGTGCTCCCAGCGGCCGCAGGTTTCGCCGACCCTTCTGTGGACCAGGTCTCCTGGTGACGCGTCAGCGTTTCACGTTTGGGGCAGTCTTTCTCACATCCGCGCCACCAGCACAGACAAGCTCTCAACCCGCACCCTTCCATGTGTTTTCCAAGGATTCCTGCCTCGTGACCATCAGCGGTTCTGTACTCAGCTTGGTCTATTCTGAGTGGCAGCGCCACTCCTTGTATCCTGATATATAGATACCATACCTGTTTGTACTTGCTATGCTATACTTGCATGCCTTGTTACACTTGTTGATTGGCCTTGTGGCCTCCTTTCTCAGTGGTCAGACTAGTAGTGCTGCTCTGAGTTGTCTTGCTATCTTCACCAGAGATTAGACTAGTAGTGCTGCCCTGGTTCGTTAAATGCAGCCTCTATCTAGGCTAGGGGGTGTGTCAACAAACATATATTACTATATATCTAGCCTAAAAGGATCAGCTCTTAGAGAGGACAACACACCACTTGTATCTCCCCTCCCACTTTCTAGTTAACATTTTCCTCTCGCTATTTCGAGAACAGCACCCACTCTTGTAATCTCTCGACATTTTCTCTAGTCACTTTTTCTTGCGCTACTTTGACATGGTATAGAGCGAGGGTTACAGTAGGTTCTCCCAAACGCCATGCTTCCGCCGTTATTGTAGCCCCTTTTTTTTTTTTTTTTTTTTTTTTTTTTCGCGCAACTCACGCTCTCCAATTTTGCGCTTCGTAGCTCCCCCCCCCCCCCCCCCCTCCGGCGTTCGTTTCGTTTCGCATGGCAGCCAGCGCGCTAGCCAGCCGACTCGCTAGTCAGCCTTCTAGCTGCCAGCTAGCACACCAGCCAGAGCGCCGGCCAGCACGCCAGCCAGCTAGCCAGCACGCAAGCCAGCCAGTCAGCCAACGCGCCAGCCAGCCGCCAGCCAGCTCGCTGCTGGCTCGCCAGCCAGCAGCCAGCAGCCAGCTGCCAGCAGTCGCCAGCTAGCTCGCCGCTGGTTCGCCAGCCATTAGCGCGCCAGCCAGCTTGCCGCTGGCTCGCTGCAGCCGCCGCTGTCACTGCTGCCGCTGCTGCCGCTGCAGCCACTGCTGCCGCTGGTCCTATCGCTGCCACCACTGCCGCTGCAGCCGTCGCTGCCGCCACTCCTGCCACTGCGGCTGCTCCTCCCGCTGCCACCGCTGCAACTGCAGCCGCTGCTCCTGCCGCTGCCGCCGCTCCTACCGCTGCCACCGCTGCCGCTGCAGCCACTGCTGCCGCTGCTCCTATCGCTGCCGCCACTGCTGCTGCAGCCGCCGCTGCCGCCGCTCTTGCCGCTGCCGCTGCTCCTCCCGCTGCTGCTGCTGCCGCCACTGCCGCTGCTGCCGCCGCTCCTGCCGCTGCTGCCACTGCCGCTGCAGCCGCCACTACTGCTGCTCCTGCCGCTCCCGCCGCTAGCCAGCAGCCGCGCTGCCGCCGCCATTAGCCAATGCGCAATGCCGCCGGCACCAGCCAGGTCGCCGCTGGACCACCGCAGTCGTCACTCCGCAGCCAGCTAGCCGCAGCCACTGCCGCCCACTTTAGCCAGCTGCCGCCCGCTGCCGCTGCTGCCTCTGCAGTCTCTGCCACAGCCACTGCAGCCGCCACCGCGGCTGCCACTGCCGCCGCTGCCGCCACAGCCGCCGCCCCCTCCAGCAGCCGCTGCCACCGTCTCCCACTGCAGCATCCACCACTGC